ACAGCATTCAACTCACTAGTACACACTTTCAAGTGTGTCTTATACAAGGTGCAACAAAGCTTGCCACGAGCAACAGTCAAAGAACCCTTTGACAATTTCCATTTACCCTCACCAAAAGTATGCTTGTAACCTTCTTGATCAAGTACATTAGCAGACAATAAATTGAGGCGTAGATCTGGAATGTGGCGAACATCTCTCAAAGTCATATAGCACCCAACACTGGTTTGAACCCGAATATCTCCAATTCCAACAATACTGGCTGAACTTTGGTTTCCCATCTTCACACTACCAAAATCTCCAACTCGGTAGTCAATAAAGTACTCCTTATGAGGAACACAATGATAAGAAGCCCTGTATCAACAAGCCATTCAGAATCAGAATTATCAACATGACAACAATCACCGGCAGTACAAACCAATGAAACACCATCATCTGAAGTAGAAGCTGTCGCCGTTGTATTCTTGTCATCACCCTCTTTGTGATGATCATTTTTCTTCTTTTGCTGGTCTCTTTTCATCTTGTAGCAAAACTTTTGAATATGGCCAGATTTGCTACAATAGTGACATATAGTGGGCTCTCTCCCATCCTTGGACTTGGACCTGTACTTTGACTTGCCACGCCCCTTAGGTCCTCTACTTTTGCTTCTTCCTCTATTCTCCACCACAAGTGCTTGTGAAGTGTCAACACCCATCTCCTTTCTTCTAAGCTCTTCATTGAACATGCTCTCTTTAATGACATCCAATGAAAGCACACCATCTGAAGCTGAGTTGCTGATAGACACAACCAAAGTCTCCCAACTATCTGGCAAAGAACTCAATAGGAATAAAGCCTGCAACTCATCATAAAAAACAATTTTCATCACAGTCAACTTGTTAATGATATCTTGAAAATCACTAAGATGCTCAGAAACAGATTTTCCTGGCTTCAACTTGAGACTAACAAGCCTCTTAATCAACGAGGCCTTGTTATGAGCAGTCTTTCTCTCATAAAGACCCTCCAATTTTCTCCACAACTCGAGTGGCTCAGTCTCTTGGGATACATGATTGAATATGCTAATATCAATCCACTGTCTAATAGTCCCCAAGGTCTTTCTCTTTAGTTTTTCCCATTCTTTATCCGTCATCTTCTCTGGTTTAGTGGGCATGTCATCCTTCTTGGTTTTATCCACATCAATTAGGTCAAACAAATCTTTACAATATAACAAATCCTCCATCATAGGACGCCAAATTGAATAATTGGTTGATGTCAATTTAACCATAGAATGATTTCCTGACTCCATATCTACGGTTTAACCAATGCTCCGATACCAAATGTTGGGAGAGAAGTAACAAGTAGGATGCACCTACAAGGATCAATTTCAAGACAACCAACCAAACACTCTTGACCCAAATTACCACCATTGATTAACCAAGCACACAAAATCAGCAGCACATCAAATAAACCACAATCAAATATGAAGAATAAAGATGCAAACGACACACGATTTTTATACGTGGAAAACCCCTTCGATGTGAAGGATAAAAACCACGGGACTTATAGGGAGTCCGCCCTCTTCTTCTCTTATTATGCAAATTGAGGGTAAAAACACCCAAACTCA